ATATCTTGATTTTCTTTTTAGATCAGAGACAGCGGTTCTCGTCTAAATTTCACGTCTTTTAAAAATAGCCCGTAGATTCTCGATTCTACGGGAGATTTACATTTACATTAAATCGATCAGAGAGATTCATCGTCAAGCGTCAATGAAAATTATCGATCGAAGATAACAAAGTTAGAATTAAAAGCAGTCAGAATTTCCAGATGTTCAGCAATAAGAGATTTCTAATTTTAGATACGTGGTATTGTGAAATATTAAGCACTTGAGAGTGCTACTCGTGATACTTTGCGAGAAAATGCCTGCGATTTTTGTACTCACGATGGAAAAAGAATGGCGTGGCAAGGCGTCGAAAATACATACGTGCTCCCGTCTCTTCCAGCGAAACGAACTAACGGGTAACTGGTAACAAAACAACGGGAAAACACGAGAATTGATCTCGTGATACCGCGCGTGTTCTAACCGAGCATCGCCAATTTTTCTCTTCAATCTATTTCAAGGTCGAGATTTAGCCTCAGACAATAACATTTCGTATTACGTCAATGGCTGGTTTTCTCAGAAACATTGCGTTACACCAAATCTCTGTATATAAAAGGAAATTTTGTATGACGTTAAAAAGAAATCAGGAAACTTAAAGAGATACAATCGAAAAATCAAAATACTTTGATCTATTTAAAAATTATATAGAATATTATTTAAAAAATGAAATTAATATCACATTAAAATTTCAAATCGATTGATTTAAATACTCAATTACTTACTTTTTTATTTTGATATATCATAAAATAGTTTTTCTTGTCATTAACAGATTTTCATAATTGATATTATTGTTGTTGTACAAAACATAGAAATACATTCCTTTTCGTCATTCTCACAAATGATTCATCGTATCTCCTTAATAAATAAATTGTAACGTTAATGGCTTTGTAAATAATTTTAAAGATTTTGTAAATCTTCAAATAAAAAAAGGTGAAGGAGATAATTATTTAATTAATTAATTGTTTCATCGATTAAAATATATAGATTAATCTCTCTCTCTCTCTCTTTCTGTCTCACATGGATCTTTTTAATCGTGCAAATTATATTATCATGTGACGAATGGTCACGGAAATAGTTTGTCAGTGCGCATTCGTCATCAGGAATACTTCGTAATGCGTTTAAGATGAGTCAGCTGGTCGGTGGTGATTTGATAGGCGATATATGTTAAACGAAAAGAAAATAATCATGCATGCGATTAAACTAAAAATAAATCCATTTACGCCTAAGCCGAGATATAGTAGAACATCCAACTTCTATAGAAGATTTGTGTTGTATAACACGCCATGTACAACATACATGTTTATATTCATTTGCACTAGACAATTATTTTGTTACACCAAGAGATGCGATCTGGCATTTACAAATATTATTAATAACATTTTATTGATAAAATTCATCTTTTTATAAATGAAACGTGTATTACAAGAAAAGAGAAACGCTTTTTTCGAGACTTGTTCTTTTTCAACAAATCAATCATGTTATTGAAAGATGCATATATATATATATTGTAAAAGAATATAGATATTTTTCTATTTACGATATTGCAAATACGTACGAATATATTATGAATTTTTTTTATAAAAGCTGCTATGATAATTTTTAATGTTTACAGTTCATTATTTCAGTAGGCGTAGAAGATCGCCTTAAAATATTGAAATAAATCATATATTCTGCGATAAATTATTGGTTCTGCACAAGTATCTATCACTCATTTGTGATGCACCCCGAGCCGTGAGGTGCAAATTAATTATTAAAGTCCTTATTGTTGCGCTACATGCTCGTGGCATCGTGGTGTTACGGCTTTTTAAACATTTATAGAATCATACTAATATATGTTCTGAATAATACACTCCAACTGCGCGATCTATATAATAAATAATGCGAACGTTAGTGTCATATATTTTGCAGTTTCCAATTAATCGATTATAATATATATTACTGTAGGTTAATTATTCTGTATATATCTTTATTGTAAATATTATTATAAATGGCTATATAATAATTATGATATAAATTAAACAATTTAATGTAAGCCGAAAATGTATTCAAAGATAGAATTAGAAATAATATCCGGCAGACATCTAATAACTTGTTTATTTTTTAAATTTATATTCAAATTAAAAAATATTACACGTACAACAAAAATAGAGATAATACTTAGCAGAAGATTTTAGATACTTTAAAATCTCTTTTTTATTTTTTTTATAAACATATAAGAAATGATTAGGCGCCTAAGATTTTGTCCCGCAGTTATTGTTCGTATTCCTATTGTTTGTGTAACATTAATTTATTAATAATTTATTATTAATTATAATTGTTTATGTATCATATCTTAAAAAAATCTACTCAATACAATATACATGTATATACTTCGATCATTTATATTCCTTTATAGTACCATTGTCAATGAGAGAATATCTTTCAACTCGCTCCAAATCTTCAATTTGGAGTCGGTATATCGATTTATATATAATAACCGGTATAGCTTTGTAAATTTACGGCGTTACGAGTAAGCATACGCGTAATGTGTAAACAACACCAGAGGTATATACATCTAGACTATGTTCGGAAACATTAGCCGAGTATCCCATGTATGTACTGTTTTATCCTTGTGTTAGCCAAATGTAAAACAAGGATAAAATGATGAGGGGAGGGCATTCGGCTGATGTGTGAACGTAGTCCTATACAGTACACACACACACACACACACACACACACACACACACACACACACACACACACACACACACACACACACACACACACACACACACACACACACACACACACACACACACACACACACACACACACACACACACACATTAATATCACACTACACACGAATGCAACGAGATGTAACTCACCCCTCCTCGATTGCTCTTCTCAGCAAGGTCGTGGATGTTCTTTTCTTTGATAGATAACAGAGAACGACACTCGCATCCGGTGGACAAGGGGGGTGACTTCTCGATCTCACTTTTCCCTCCCTGAGATTCCAAATTCGTCTCTTCTGTTCACGTTTTTCATGAAATACTTCAGTATATTAACATCATCTCCGCATCTCGCGGTGATGAGGAGGCGGAAGTCGGTATGTGCGTCAAACTAAAACAAACTTTGGTGCTATTATCTTAACGCCGATCGTCGCGTTTCGAAGAAAAAAGAGCAAGTGTAGAAGGTGTAGGTTGAAAAGAACAGATCTATTTCGATACGATTGCCATGGCGGCACGCGATTGGTCGGATTCACCAAATCGGCCAATCGGCTCACGATTCGGCGCTGAAAACGTGTCTTGAAGTTGGCGGCTTTTCGGCGCCGTGCATATGCAGATTAACGGAGTAAACGGATAACTTCACTTTATCACTTTTCATGCTATTTATCGTTGTTATTATGGATTCCTTTTTTGCTTAAGTCAACGAGTCTTTAAACGAGTTTGAAATGATATAATTACAATCTTGTTGTAATAATCATTTAATTTTTTATTGACGTCATTCGCACGTCATTTGAATGACATCGCGAAAAATCGTGGAATCACACGATTTTTTGTTTCTTATCATATGTAAAAATCTCTTATATTTTACTAGCATAAAAAAATTATCTTTTGACACAAAATCTTTCGAGTTGAACAATAAAATAATTATTCTCTTGGTGTTCAACGCACATGAGAAGAAAGATTACATAATTCAAAATTCTATTATAAAAAATTATATAAGAGAGATCTATGCGATCTGATTCCTTTTATGGATGTTATTACTATTATATTATTGTTAATTGTATTCTATTAATTATTTATCTTTTATTCTATTACAAAAGATTATATAATTCAAAATTCTATTATATCACTATTTTATTATAAAAATTAATTAATCATCGACTAATTATCGGAGTTAATTTTGGACTCGATAAAGTCGCGCCAAAAATTCGAATAATTTAATTCGCGAAGTGGAAATCTATGTATTTGAAGTTTGACAAAAGAATGAAATAGGAAGTGTTAGTGTGCAGAAACCAGTGCAGAAATAGAAAACAAGCTTAAAGCAAGTTATCAATTTTATTCCACGCATCGTCGGATGGCTGCTCTACGTCACTCGGCAATATATATTACGTCCATCGACAAAAATACCTAGCTATCGACGTCGCGGCATTCGCCTCCGCGTCGCGGCGAGGCAACTCGGCCGCCTTCGCGAGCCTTCCGCTATTTCTCGTGCGCAGCGAGATCTTGTATTAGGCGCCTGTGACATCTAGAGTACGCGCACACTCGATGATCCGCGCGGCGACGTAACAACGCTCGTTCAAAGAAAAGTCCGACGGCGACGATAAGATGGCGGCGTCGCGCACGTCAGATCACTGCTGAGCGCTGGCGCGGGGGAGAGGAGATAGCGGGGCGCGGGGTAGGGGTGGCGGCAGGAAGAGGAGGTAGACGATAGGCAGGCGAGCGAGCGAACAGGCACGGGATGAGAGTCGGAGTTTGTCGTATACGTGCCTACGTATAGAGCGTGCAAGGAACGTGCCTGTCTGTGTCGTCATGTCCTGGCGTAGTCACGTCGCCGTCACATCGAGGCAGCCTAGTTACAGGGCGGCGCAGGTCGATTCTCGTTTCGCGTGATCTATCTCTGCCTGTCTCTCTCTCTCTCTCTCTCTTTCTCTAACTCTCTCACTCTTTCTCTCTCCCTCTCGTCCGTCAGCCGACTCGGCCGTTTCGTCGATGCCTTTGTTCGACGGTCGGGAGGAGGAGGACAGGCGCGTTTTGTTATCGCGACAAAGCGAAGACGAGAACGAGGACGAAGAGAAGCCCCGTGCCCTTAGCCTAGCCAGTGGAAGTGAAGTGTACG